GGACAACCAACCCATTAAAATTCGGCCCCGTCGCATTCCCCTTGCCAAGAGGGAAGCAGCAGCCACAGCTATTGCTGACATGTTGCGGGCTGATTTCATTGAGCCATCAGATAGCCCGTGGTCCGCGCCGGTCGTCATGGTGCCTAAGAAAGGGGGTAAACTTAGGTTTTGTGCGGACTACAGGGGCCTAAATTCTGTCACCATTAAAGACTCTTACCCCATACCGAGGATCGATGAGTCGCTAGACCACGTCAGAGGGTCCTCGTGGTTCTCTTCCCTTGATCTGCGCAGTGGCTACTGGCAGGTGCCCCTCTCGCCTGGGGCACGTGAAAAAAACGGCCTTCTCCACGGATAGGGGCCATTGGCAGTTCAAGGTGCTGTGCTTCGGGCTTTGTAATGCTCCTGCCACCTTTGAGAGGCTCATGGACAGAGTGCTGGCGGGGGTTCCGAGAGACGAGTGTGTCGTGTACCTAGACGACATATTGGTACACGGCACGTCGTTTGAGGGGGCACTGGGGGCACTTAGGCGAGTGCTGGAGAGGATCTCGGGGGCGGGGCTAAAATTACACCCGGAAAAGTGCCATTTCATGCAAAGGGAGTTGGCGTTCCTGGGTCATCAGCTGGGTGGTGAGGGTATCAGCACGTTGCCAGACAAAGTGGAGGCTGTGAGGGGGGTGGCCAATTCCAAGGGAAAAAAAAGAGGTTAAGAGCTTCCTGGGTCTGGCATCCTACTATCGTAGGTTTGTGAAAGGGTTTGCGGGGATAGCAGCTCCTTTGAACTACCTTCTCAAGAAGGACACTGTCTTTCAGTGGACCGAAGAGCACCAGCGGGCGTTTGAGGCCCTCAAACGTGCCCTGGTGGAGGCCCCTGTCCTGTCCTCACCAGACCCAAACCGTCCGTTTATTCTGGACACCGATGCAAGCAATGAGGGCTTGGGGGCCGTGCTGGCTCAGCGTGGTTCTGACGGGGAGCACGTAGTAGCTTATTACAGCAGAACTTTTGATAAGGCTGAAAAACGCTACTGCGTGACAAGGAGGGAGCTTTTGGCTGTCGTGGCAGCAGTACGCCATTTCAAGTACTACCTGGGGGGCCTGCCGTTTGTGGTGCGGACGGATCACTCCGCCCTGCAGTGGCTTCTCTCCTTCAAGGAGCCAGAGGGTCAGATCGCCCGCTGGTTGGAGGAGCTGCAACCATACGACTTCCAGGTGGAGCACAGGGCCGGCCTTCGCCACAGCAATGCAGACGCCTTGTCCCGCCGCCCGTGTGCTGAGGACGGCTGTGGGTACTGCGCCAAACGGGTGGAGCGAGAGAGGGAACTGTGCATGGAGGAGGGAGTCACCGCCACGGTGAGTCAGCTGAGGGTGACAGAGTGCCGGGAGCTTGAGGCTGGGGACGTCGGGGAGTGGAGGCGTCGCCAGGAGGAGGACGCAGAGCTGCGTCCTGTGCTGGGGTGGGTGGAAGAGAGAAGACGACCGCCATGGGGGGAGGTAGCCCCTCTATCACCAGTCACCAAGGGACTCTGGGCTAAATTCTCAGTCCTTAGAGTGGCTGAGGGAGTGCTCCAGAGGGGGTGGAAAAAGCCAGCTACTGGAGAAATGACGTGGCAGGTAGTGGTTCCCAAAAGGCTGCAAGGGAGCGTGTTACAGCAGCTTCACGGGGGAGTAGGCGCAGGGCATTTTGGGGTCTCCAAAACGTTAAAGCGCGTACGTAAAGGCTTCTATTGGGCCAGGCACAGGAGGGATGTGGAGGACTTTTGCAGGCAGTGCGATGAGTGTGCTGCTAAGAAAGGACCTCCAGGTCAGTCACACGCCCTCCTACAACAATTCCCAGTAGGGGAGCCCATGGAGAGACTGGGGGTAGACATAGTTGGACCGTTTCCAACCACAGACAGCGGTAACAGGTGGATTCTAACTGCTATGGACTACTTCACCAAGTGGCCAGAGGCTTACGCTCTCCCAGACCAGGAGGCAGAAAACAGTAGCTGAGGCATTGGTAGGGGGAATAATCAGTCGGTTCGGGGTGCCACAGTCTATACACAGCGACCAGGGGAGAAACTTTGAGTCACGGGTGTTCTCAGAGTTGTGTAGACGGTTAGGCGCGGAGAAGACGCGCACTACTCCGCTTCATCCCCAGAGTGATGGGCTGGTGGAAAGATTTAACAGAACATTAGCACAACAGCTGGCTATCGTTACCTCAAAACACCAGAGAGATTGGGACACACACTTACCGTTTATCCTCATGGCATGTAGGTCGGCTGTTCAGGAATCGACTGCGTGCTCCCCAGCGCTACTAATGTTAGGTCGTGAGTTGCGCACCCCAGCCGAACTGACGTTTGGCCACCCTCCTGATAACGACGACGGGGTTTTGCCTGGCCCGAACTATGTTCGTCGACTGCAGAACCGGTTAGAAGCGGCTCACACCTTCGCAAGAGAGCAACTCGAGAACGCAGGAATGCGCCAAAAGCGCCACTATGACTCACGCGCTAGGGGGAGGCACTTTGGAGCGGGAGAACGCGTGTGGCTTCACAACCCCACGCGCAAGAAGGGGCGGTGCCCAAAGCTGGACAGTGCCTGGGTGGGGCCGTGCCTGGTGATAGAGAGAGTGGGGGAGGTGACGTACCGGGTGGAGGTTCCCCCACGGGGCAGGAAGGTGGTGGTCCACCGGGACCGATTGGCGCCCTACAGAGGGAGGAAAAACGGTAGGGAATGGAAGTGAGGACTCTGATGTGAGCACACGGGGACAGTCTAGCGAGGAGACTCTAGTGCAAGCTGAGCCTGGGACGGGGGCTGCCTCTTCGGGGGGTGCTGGAAATGACACTGGGGCAGATGAGTGTTCTGGGGGTCCACCAGTGAGAGTCAAGGGGAGGCACAAGAGACTGATGCGACCTCCGGGTCGTTTTAAGGATTTTGTTTTGTAACCCTAGGGGCTAGGGTTTAGAAAGGAGGGGGCTATGTAACGACCCTGTATTGTGTTCTGTGTTCATGGATGTGTTATCGTTCTCATGGGTACTAGCAGGGGTTAATTATGCCAGGACAGATGGAAAGGTTGGGGGGTATGATGGGTAATCCCGCGGGATTTTGGAATGATTAAATAGGGGTTACGGTCTCATCTCTCTCTCTTCTGTTCGGGACCCTTGATGTGACATGTTCTATTTGTGTATGTTCGAGGTTTAGCGGCGTGGGTTGTGGCCGGAACAATAGCCCATTCAGGAATAAACCTGTGTTCTGCCTGTACACCTGGTGCCCGTCTCTCTTTTACTTTATGACCCAGCTGGGTCATTACAATATATATATATATATATATATATATATATAAATCGTCCTTTTAAAATCGTCCTTTTCCTAAATTGGCCATGATTGAGATAGGGATTTGGACTTGTGGTTTTACTTAATTCTCCGTAATGGCCAATGATTATACCGGCGATTCTGATCCAACCATACATTCATACATTGTGCTCCTGGCGGGAGAAGATGGAAGTTCAACATGTAGCTAGATGTAGTTGGCTGGCTAATGTTAACTAGCTGGCCTGGCGCATTGTTGCCCATGAAAGGAAGTTAGGCTAGCGAGCAAGCATTTTAGCCAGGTAGCCTAGGACAACAAAAACTAAAAGTGTGTAATGTGTGACAGAGTCATAGACTGTTTAGGCAACACGAAAGAGGAGGATGGCATTGTTTTTCTACTTGCACGCGTACACACGCACGAGCACACACACACACAAAAATCAGTACCATTCACAGACACATCATATTTAGCTTACTTTGATTGGACTAAATCGTTTTTGGTATATTTTAGTTGTCACTGTATTAGACTAAGCATATGTGATTTGATTATGTTGAAATGGTGCTGGAATAGTGGAGGCAGCGCTTGTTTTCTTTGCGACTTGCGGTAACTCTGAATCAGTAGTTGTTTTAGTCTGCAAATGTTGGAAACATTAACTTGCTTGACCATGCATGTAACTGTTTGTTACATGCAATATGTTTTGTAGACTTCACCGGACATATGTTGCTCTATGGTTTTGTGATGAAACAAATGTGTGGTTGAATTTATTCTGCCACTGTGTCATCTTATTGTCTCAGCCTTAGGCCTAAATATCACGGTGTCAAGGCATATGAACTAACAGGTTATAGAGCAAACAACACAATTATCCCAACACATAGGTTGGAATATGGCTTTTTTTTCCCTGGCTTGGCTTCCACGATGATTTTACCCACGCACTGCTACTGGCAGACGCTCTTATCACACCATAGTGCCATCAGACTTCTGATACCAATGCAGATTGAAAGGGGACACACAAAATTGTGAACCGCTATTGAAAAAAACGGTATAGAAAAGTATTTTTGTATTTAGAAAATACAAATTACAGCTCTCAAAAGTATCTTGTTACAAAATACATTGGAGTGTAGTTCAGTCCAATATAATTCAAATGACTAAATACTCAGAAGTATTTAAATACATATTTCAAATACATGCAACAGAAATACTGCACACCTCTGCCTGTATCATAGACTTGTATTCTATGACATGTATTATCCAAGTGAGAAGGTGGTATTTACCACTTACGACTGAAATAAATCCAGCTGAACGCCCCTCCAACTGGTCATTACTAGGGGGAAACTCGTCTATCATCTCTGCACTACTAAGGAAATTACCTCGATAACAGTATTTTCGGCATTTAAATGTAACAACAAAACATTATTTATAAAAAGCAATCTATTCATATGGTTTTTGAACACTATAATTTGTTTACAAGCATGATAGCTGTACTTTTAGTTTATGGTTGAAGCAGCTTGCTGGCCATCAGCCAAACGGAGTTTCTGAACGAGTTCAAAGCACTTGAATAAACATTTCTCAAAATAATGTATCTCTTCTAAATCATTTCAACTTGTCTTATATTCTGGTTTGTTTACTGACTAGTAAATAAATGTGTCCTAAAAAAACAACGTTGCAAAATACTGTTGGTCTTGAACAACTTTCTTTGCGTCTGATGTGACGCCATCACGTCATACTCAAAGTTCTGTCACTAGTGTACAAAGTGCGTTATCAAATCTGTACAAACATTTGTGCAGATTATACAATTAAATGCCACTGCTCTAATTATTTGTAACTACACTTACTACTTTGTAACGCTCGCAGGTAAGTGATTAACTTTGGCAATGTGAAGTCAAATGCGTTGTGTGAAAGTAAAGCTATCCAGTTTGCAGCCATGTGAATGTATTTTAGCCAGAGGCGACCCTACCTTTGATCACCTGTTTTAGCTAACTAACGTTACCTAGCTAATTATTATTAGCAGACACCGCAGTAAGGCTAGCTAAGCCTATTAGTTGTCCCACTACCCTTTTACATTATAGCTACGTTTGTTTTTGTCATTTTCCTGCTGCATGGAAGCATATGTGGCCTAGCTTCGATGCAACCTTGGCGGTGTCTAGACTTGACAGTCATGCATCTACAACTACATTTAAATGTGTCCGGATTCCTTATTCTTGCGGTATATTCAAATGCCAGCATGTATTCTGCAAACAGTGGAATAGGCAAAATATGATAATACAACAACAACGGATGGCTGTAACTAGCAAGCAACGCTAAAGGGATAGTAAACGGGTTAGCGTAAGTCTAGACCAAAAAAATAAAAACTTCCTAAATATTCGGTAGCTGTCTAGCATTTATGAGGCCAGCAAACACGCTAGGAAGGTATTTCCTCCAACGGTAGAATGAAAAGGTGCCTCGGTCCCAAAACACGTTTTCTGGAGACTTGTGGGAGGAGTGGTGTTGACGTCGCCCACTGGATGCGCTTTCCGTAGACTGATTGCGTCCAGACTGAGGAGAAATCCGCACACAATGCAGCCCTGCCAGATCTGAACACAATTAGACCCGTCTTTTCTATGCGATCTTCGTATTCTGATAGCAGAAGTCGCATGTTAATGTCAAGTGTAGACACGAGACAATGTCGAAAGTCTCTAGGTTCAGGTTGCATCGAAGCTAATGTGGCTGTACTTGAACTTTTCAAATGTCTCAATGTGCCTTGGCATGTCAACTATCTTGATCGCTAGGATTGTCCTTTACATTTAATAAAGATTGTGTGACCAGAAATGACAATGATTACACCCCTGTTGTGACCTTTTTTCTTTGCGTTCCTTCTCCGTAGCATCAATGTCAGTAGCGGACTCTAAACCAAACCTCAGCCATCTACAGGTGTCAGAGCTCGTGAAGAGGCTCTTTGGCTTGACGCCGTCCCAGATTCACCCGCTGCCCAGCTACGATGACCAGAACTTCCACTTGGTGGTCAGTGAGGGCAGCGAGTACGTCCTGAAGGTCATGAACTCTGCGGACAGTCAGAACCCCACTCTGCTGGAGCTGCAGACTCACGCCATGACCTTCCTGCACCAGAGGGGGATTCCTGCCCAGACCGTCCTCCCTACCACCTCAGGACAAGTCATGAGCCTGGAGGACATCGGTATGTATGAAGCCTGCACAACACCGAGTCATGGGATATGCTCTGGGAATCAACAGATGCTACAGTATGATCATGGTATAATTGCATGAAAGACCTATTAACAAGAGACTAGCTGTCCTGAGTCTAGTCCTCGAGTGGAGACCAGAAACCAGTGTCTGCTGGTTTTCTCTTCTCCCTGATACTTAGTTAGTCAATATATTTAGTAGAAATGGGCACCTATAGGGGCATTCCATACCAGAGTTGCGCAAAGATATTGATTATGTTTTGGATCTTCCAGAAATTAAATCCATCGAAATGAAACCCAAAGGACCTTTCAATGGATTTCATTTAAATGAATCTGAATCCAATTGAGCACATCTGGGACATCATGTCTCGCCCATCCACCAACGCCACATTGCACCACAGACTGTCCAGGAGTTGGCGGATGCTTTAGTCCAGGTCTGGGAGGAGATCCCTCAGGAGACCATCCGCCACCTCATCAGGAGCATGCCCAGGCGTTGTAGGGAGGTCATACAGGCACGTGGAGGCCACACACACTACTGAGCCTCATTTTGACTTGTTTTAAGGACATTACATCAAAGTTGGATCAGCCTGTAGTGTGGTTTTCCACTTAAATTTTGAGTGTGACTCCAAATCCAGACCTCCATGGGTTGATAAATTTGATTTCCATTGATAATTTTTGTGTGATTTTGTTGTCAGCACATTCAACTATGTAAAGAAAAAAGTATTTAATAAGATTATTTCATTCATTCAGATCTAGGATGTGTTATTTTAGTGTTCCCTTTATTTTTTTGAGCAGTGTGTATATATATATATTGCCTTCAGAATGTATTCACACCCCTTGACTTTTTCCACAATTTGTTGTTACAGCCTGAATTTAAAAAGGATTACATTGAGATTTATTGTCACTAGCCTACACACAATACCCCATCAAAGTGGAATTATGTTTTTTGACATTTTTACTGATTAATTAAAAATGAAAGGCTGAAATGTCTTGAGTCATTGATAATTCAACACATTTGTTATGGCAAGCCTAAATAAGTTGAGGAGTAAAAATGTGCTTAACAAGTCACATAAATTGCATGGACTCACTCTGTGTGCAATAATAGTGTTTAACATGATTTTTAAATGACTACCTCATCTCTGTAACCCACACATACAATTATCTGTAAGGTCCCTCAGTCGAGCAGTGAATTTCAACCACAAAGACCAGCAATGTTTTCCAATGCCTCGCAAAGAAGGGCACCTATTGGTAGATTCAAAAAGCAGACATTGAATATCCCTTTGAGCATGATGAAATTATTAATTACACTTTGGATGGTGTATCAATACACCCAGTCACTACAAAGATACAAGCGTCCTTCCTAACTCAGTTGCTGGAGAGGAAGGAAACCGCTCAGGGATTTCACCAGGAGTAATGTGACTTTAAAACAGTTACAGAGTTTAATGGCTGTGATAGGACAAAACTGAGGATGGATCAACAACATTGTTGTTACTCCACAATACTAACCTAATTGACATAGGAGAAAGAAGGAAGCCTGTATAGAATACTAATATTCCAAAACATGTGTCCTGTTTGCAACCAGGCACTAAAGTAATACTGCAAAAAAATGTGGCAAAGCAATTAACTTTCTGTCCTGAATACAAAGTGTTATGTTTGGGGCAAATCCAATACAACACCTTACTGAGTGAGTACCACTCTCCATATTTTCAAGCATAGTGGTGGCTGCATCATGTTATGGGTATGCTTGTAATCGTTGAGGAATAGGGAGTTTTTCAGGATAAAAAAATTAATGGAATGGAGCTAAGCACAGGCTAAATCCTAGAGGAAAACCTGGTTCAGTCTGCTTTCCACCAGACACTGGGAGATGAATTCACCTTTCAGCAGGACAATAACCTAAAACACAAGGCCAAATCTACACTGGAGTTGCTTACCAAGAAGACAGTGAATGTTCCTGAGTGGCCTATTTTACAGATTTGACGTAAATCTATGGAAAGACCTGAAAATGGTTGTCTAGCATTGATCAACAACCAATTTGACAGAGCTTGAAGAATTTTGAAAATAATAATGGGCAAATGTTACACAATCCAGGTGTGGAAAGCTCTTAGAGACTTACCCAGAAAGACTCACAGCTGTAATCGCTGCCAAAGGTGCTTCTACAAAGTATTGACTCAGGGGTGTGAATATTTATGTAAATTAGATATTGCTGTATTTCATTTTCTATACATTTGCTAACATTTTAAAAAACATGTTTTCACTTTGTCATTCTGTATTGTGTGTAAATGGTTATGAAAAAAAATCAATTTAATCAATTTTGAATTCAGGCTGTAACACAACAAAATGTGGAATAAGTCAAGCGGTATGAATACTTTCTGAAGGCTCTGTATATCTGTTTGCAAATAAACATTACAACTGTCTCGGCTCTGGGAAGTCCAGACAACTGCTTGCTGATTGCTATTGGGCCAGGTGTGAGTGTTCTGGGAGCCTGAAACCTACCCAACCAGTCTGAATACAGTATTTGGGTAGCCCATCTACCGGTGATGACTCATGCTAACGGTGGTGACTCATGCTAAGTTGACGGTCTGTGAGAGGGTTTTGTGCATACAGAAACAGTTGTGCTTTTTTATATAATAGTGTAGGTTAACAGGAAGTATAAACTGATATCAGGATATGCCTTGCTCATATTGATTATAAAATTGTATACAATTTTCGATATTGGTTCCTGCCACTACTATTAGTGATCAACAAAAGTGATCCCTCACTTGGTTTGAAACAGGGTTGTCAAACTCCATTCCTGGAGGGCTGTGTGTCTGCGTTATATCCTTTCAATCTGTCCAATTAAGACCAAGACAACCAGGTTAGGGCAATTCATAACTAATCAGTGACCTTAAGACCCAGACATCCAGGTTAGGGCAATTCATAACTAATCAGTGACCTTAAGACCCAGACATCCAGGTTAGGGCAATTCATAACTAATCAGTTATCTTAATTGATCAATCAAGTATAAGGGAGGAGCGAAAACTTGCAGACAGACACTTGGCCGTCCAGGGTTTGAGTATGACTTGGCCGTCCAGGGTTTGAGTTTGACTTGGCCGTCCAGGGTTTGAGTATGACTTGGCCGTCCAGGGTTTGAGTTTGACTTGGCCGTCCAGGGTTTGAGTTTGACTTGGCCGTCCAGGAATGAGTTGACTTGGCCGTCCAGGGTTTGAGTTTGACTTGGCCGTCCAGGGTTTGAGTTTGACTTGGCCGTCCAGGGTTTGAGTTTGACTTGGCCGTCCAGGAATTGAGTTTATTGGCCGTCCAGGGTGGTTGACTTGGCCGTCCAGGTTTGAGTTTGGCCGTCCAGGTTTGAGTTTGACTTGGCCGTCCAGGGTTTGAGTTTGACTTGGCCGTCCAGGGTTTGAGTATGACTTGGCCGTCCAGGGTTTGAGTTTGACTTGGCCGTCCAGGGTTTGAGTTTGACTTGGCCGTCCAGGGTTTGAGTTTGACTTGGCCGTCCAGGGTTTGAGTTTGACTTGGCCGTCCAGGGTTTGAGTTTGACTTGGCCGTCCAGGGTTTGAGTTTGACTTGGCCGTCCAGGAATTGAGTTTGACTTGGCCGTCCAGGGTTTGAGTTTGACTTGGCCGTCCAGGGTTTGAGTTTGACTTGGCCGTCCAGGGTTTGAGTTTGACTTGGCCGTCCAGGGTTTGAGTTTGACTTGGCCGTCCAGGGTTTGAGTTTGACTTGGCCGTCCAGGAATTGAGTTTGACTTGGCCGTCCAGGAATTGAGTTTGACACCCCTGGTGTAAAAGGTGCATTCAGTTGCTGGAAGTATGAATAACAATTCTGCAACACTAGAGGATCAGACCTGGGGAAACCTTCAATAAGAGATCAAACTGAAATCATACCAGTTGCACTGCATTTTAATGTCGAGGAGTCAAGCTAGTTTAGCTGGAGTATTAGTACCTCTGGCTAGGTAACGTCTGAATATTAGTACTCTGGCTAGGTAACAGTCTGAATATTAGTACCTCTGGCTAGGTAACAGTCTGAATATTAGTACCTCTGGCTAGGTAACAGTCTGAGTATTAGTACCTCTGGTTAGGTAACAGTCTGAGTATTAGTACCTCTGGCTAGGTAACAGTCTGAATATTAGTACCTCTGGCTAGGTAACAGTCTGAATATTAGTACCTCTGGCTAGGTAACAGTCTGAATATTAGTACCTCTGGCTAGGTAACAGTCTGAGTATTAGTACCTCTGGCTAGGTAACAGTCTGAATATTAGTACCTCTGGCTAGGTAACAGTCTGAATATTAGTACCTCTGGCTAGGTAACAGTCTGAATATTAGTACCTCTGGCTAGGTAACAGTCTGAGTATTAGTACCTCTGGCTAGGTAACAGTCTGAATATTAGTACCTCTGGCTAGGTAACAGTCTGAATATTAGTACCTCTGGCTAGGTCACCGTTAGTTAACAGAGTCAGAGCTGCCTTTTATCTACAATGCCTCTAGGTGCTTGGCAGAGTTCATTTGATCTTTGTTGACAAGGAGGGGGTGCAACAGGATGAGTTTATATTCCAATTTCCCCCAGAGGGCTGCAGATCTCTTGAAATTACTTTTTTCTCCTGGTAGACTGCGGCTTTGGCAGGCAGAAGTACCTGGTGAGACTGCTGACCTATTTACCGGGGACCACCATCGCCAAAGTGCCCAGCTCTCCACAGATCCTCTATGAAGCCGGCAAGATGGCTGCCAAGATGGACGCACTCCTGCAGGAAGTATGATTATCTTAAATTAGTCTGCCTGAGGTGCGTTCAAGTAGGCTAATGTTTGCAAATGTTTCTATTTAAAGTGCATACAGTTAGGTTGGCAACATTTAACCTGAAGGGGGTAAGACATTCATAACACCCTAATAAAAACATTAATAACCGTTACCTCTCGTGACATCAAAAATGATTTTCACTGCAATGTCTGGGCTTATGGTTTGTGCAACATTGTAGCCTATATAGACCTGTTGTGTGGCAGTTGCTGTGGTGAGAGAGAGAAGCGCACCTGGAGGCCTGTGTGTAGCCCAATCACAATTGATATCCTACGGTCGGGAACTTTCGGCAAATCTGTCAGTGAACAGAATGCAGACAAAACAAGCCTTTTGCAATATTTCAAATACAATCGCGGGAAAAAACTGGTTGGAAAGCAAATGGCTCCTGCTGAAACGAGAAGAGTAATCTGTTTGTAGGATACCAAAATATATTGTATCAATTTCCAAATAGGCCTATTGTGTGAACAGCGTTGTTTTACAAAGTAAAACAAGAGAGATATGCTTTTTGGCACGAGAGCATCGGTCATCGCTGGAGCTGCGCATAAATGAGTCAGTGAGTGAAACTGGAAAGCTTTTTTAGGACTATAATTTCCTCCTTATGTTGTACAGTATGTGTGTCTCCACAGACATAGGCTATTGATGGATTCAAGACAAGGTCGTTTTTATTGATCCCAGAATCTCACTTTGTCAGTAGCCTGTCATTTCGATCATTTGTGCAGTGTTAAAAAAAGATTCTGCTAGTCTCCACTCATGTACATAAATGTAATGTAAAATGATGCATGAAATGTTTTTTAAAAAGGCCACATTTTTTTCAGACCCTAGTCTACTAAAAATGTTCGCAATGTGTGCATCTTCTATAACTACCTCTACTCTACTGCTCTATGCCACGACGCAAATGCGATGATATGCATGTAATGCTTTATTATAAAGGTGATTTTCTTTTTCATGCATTCCGGTACCTCAGAGCCCGCCAGGTCACCCCTCCCCCTTTTGCAATCACTTTTTGCTCCCACCTCCCGATTTACAAATTAAGCACTGCATAACCCCCTTTATGAGTATTGTAGTATCATTCATAACAACCTTTATAACACATTTATTCAATATCATTCATGAGGAAATAAAATACCCTTTTCTCATTACAGAACTACTTGAAGGGGGTATACAAAAGGTATTAATATGAAACCATTCATAATATCTTTATGAGTGTCGCAGTATCATTCATTCAGTATCATATTCCCTCTTCAAGTAAAGAATGAAGCCAGTAAAGTGTTACCTTTATGTTTGTTAGGTTTGGCTCCGGGCAAACAAAAGTAGCAGCGTTGTAAGACGTTGAAAAACCATCACAATACATATTATTCTAGGAGGCTGATTCTTATTCTGTATTAGCGAAGCAATTTCCCGCATATAGAGAGCATGAAAATAGGTTCAGTAGATTGAAATAGTTACAATGGGTTGAAATATGCATTGAACATACAGTAGAAGTGTAATACCGGAGACACTTTTATGCTTGATTGTTTCAGTCTTGTTCGCTTTGAATGTATGTGAGTTTTGAACGCACCTCTAAATGTGGAGCTAACAAAATATAGCGATTTTCTCAGATTTTCCCTTGCATGCTCTATGACCCGTCTGCTACGCGTGATCATATGATTTCAATAACTTTTAATTTAAATAATGAGTGATTTGGCTAACAGATATTTCAGCAGCAAAAACGTAATACATCATTTGCTTATAGCTGTACAACGGTATGTTTTTATTGTTGAAGTGTCTATTCACTGATCACCAGTAGTTAACTCAGTTCCTGGCTGATGACATTAGTATGTGTTCACAGATGGAGCATCCTCAACTCCAGGTACTACAGAGGGAGAAGTTCATCTGGAGTCTGTCCAACATCCCTCTTCTGGAGCCATACGTCCCTCTGATGGATGGGGATCCTGTGCAGCAGGTGATCAAGTCAGTCATCCAGCAATACAAGACTTGTGTACAGCCCAAACTCGGCTCCTTCCGCAAGTGTGAGTGTCTCCCTTCACCATCTGTTCTGTCGGGGCTCTCTTTAATAGACCTGGTTCAATTGGAAGAAAATGGACTGGAACAGGGAAGGACTACGTGGACTAGTTAATCAACAAAAGCTAATTTTAGCTTTCCGTTGTGAAATATTTTTAAACGTTTTCCGTTGCATGCCACAATGAACATGACCCTTTTATTAACAATGCAACATGGAACCAGTCTGTTGTAATGATTGACAGGTCAGATGCTGATACAGGTGGAGAATGTAAAAGTTTATAACTGAGCGGTGAAAGCAGAACTGGGGTCAAATAGTATTGGTTTTCTTTCAAATACTTTCACTGGGCATGATTGCGCTTACTCAATGGACCAATGGAATAGGCCCAAAAGTGCAAACCACACCCATCTGGTACTCCAGGTAGACTCAAGCAAACGCTCAAAACATTTGAACTATTATACTTTTTTATTTGAGCACACGTCTGGTACTATTGCGCATGCATATCTGATATGTCAGTAAACGTGCATTTGTCTTTACGTAGGTATCAACCACGGGGACTTTAATGACCACAACATCTTGGTGCAACCAGACGATTCAGCCACCTACAAAATCTCTGGCATCCTGGACTTTGGGGACATGAGCAGCGGCTACTATGTGTACGAGCTGGCCATCGCCATCATGTACATGATGATCGAGAACCCCATGCCTCTGGATGTGGGAAGAGCCGTGCTGGCTGGCTGGGAGAGTGTTCTTCCCCTCAACGAGGCCGAGAGGGACGCCCTCTACCTGCTGGTGCTCTGTCGCTTCTGCCAGTCCCTGGTTCTGGCTCGCCACGCTGTGGCCCAGCAGCCGGAGAACGAGGATTACCTCATGATCACCGCCAAGACGGGCATCCGCCATCTTTTCCGGCTATGGGAACTGGGCAAGGAGGAGGTGGAGAGGAGGTGGTTTCAGAGTGCCGCCCAGTATCCTGGCAAAGAGTGACCCAATGGTCTTCAGGGAGCACCTTCTTTTTATAGGCTGCGTTCCGATTCTTTACCCGTCTCACGAAGTGGTGTGGACGTTCCCTGTCAGGGATTTAATAATGGTGGAAAACCCCTCCAGCCAATGCTTACACCAATCCAATGCTTTTGAATCCATGTGGATTCTGCAGGTGCCCCTTTTAGTATTAAAGGTACACTCAGCAATGTGACATCATCAAAAAGTGGGTCATGCCTCGAGCTAATAGTGGCTCGTCATCCTGTTATGCAATGATAGAGTCATATTGCTGAGTCTACCTTTAGCAGACAGACCATCTGATTAAAATGCAGACTCATTTAAACTTACCTGGATTCCATCAGTCTGGCGGTGTGACTGAGAAAATCTGACCAAATCCAGTTCTAAAACCGTTTTGAAAGATTCAAGATATTGAATCTTGGTCAGTCTCAGATTTGTCTGATTGTCTGTGGGTACAGGTTCCAGTGCTCTAAAATCTAGATTTTCTCTGATGGTCTGTGGGAACTCAGGTTTTTTGGTTTTACATGTCATCTCTTAACACTCCCAAAACTTTGATTTATGAGTTTAAAAAAAACGTGATGAACCATGGCCACTGTGAGCTTTTTATTGGTGATTTGTGCTCTTTTCCAAATGGCATTCTGTCATACTGTGGATAATGTCTGTACCGGGTTGAAGGCCATATGATTATTCAAATGAGTAGGTTACTCTGAGCCAGCTATTGCAGTGTCCAAACTTCACAGTATGTCCTGTGTCAATTTCATAATTCCATTTTTAGGGCTCACTTCAATTAAAGTGTAACTCATTTACATAGTAAGCAATTCAACAGCTATGACCTACATGTACCTGAAGTGCCTGTGCAAAGAGAAGGAATGTACCATGATTGTTTTTTTTTAAATCATATTTTGTAAGAAATTAATCTCATTCATTGCATAATAAACCGCAACAAATAAATGAATTGAGAGAAACTTTCAAAGTATTTATTTTATTTTATGAAACTGGATATATCAATCAATGAAGCAGTGGGGATATACAGTCATGTCCGAAATGATTGTCACCCTTCATAAAGATGAGCAAAAAATAAAAATAAAACACATACTGAACAAAACTCAGCAACAAAAAGAAACGTCCTCTCACTGTCATCTGCGTTTATTTTCAGCAAACTTAACATGTGTAAATATTTGTATGAACATAACAAGATTCAACAACTGAGATATTGTTATGTCAAGAATACTATGCTGAGATGCTGTGAGAACAAGGAGATCCGCTGACGCTGTACTTTGATTATAAAGGTTTATTCATAACAAAGGATTTCAGCGTCGATTTACAGATACCTGCAGGCATCTGGAGAACAGCCAACCCAAATTCTAAATATGCTATTCTGACCTCCTTTGTCTTCACCAAGTATTTATCCTATGTAATCTGATATGGGTGTTTCCCCTACAGACCAATCGCAGGAGGTCACCTAACAGACTTCCTCTGCTTTAGGGTGCCCCTCTAAAACTGCTCTCCAGATGTCTCCCTGGGCCAAATCAACATTCTCTAAGCTACCATTTGCAAACAAGTATTTGATACACTGCCGATTTTGCAGGTTTTCCTACTTACAAAGCATGTAGAGGTCTGTAATTTTTATCATAGGTACACTTCAACTGTGAGAGACGGAATAAAAAAAAAAAATCTGTATTTGATACATCAGAAAAGCAGAACTTAATATTTGGTACAGAAACCTTTGTTTGCAATTACAGAGATCATACATTTCCTGTAGGTCTCGACCAGGTTTGCACACACTGCAGTAGGGATTTTGGCCCACTCCTCCATACAGACCTTCTCCAGATCCTTCAGGTTTCGGGGCTGTCGCTGGGCAATACGGACTTTCAGCTCCCTCCAAAGATTTTCTATTGGGTTCAGGTCTGGAGACTGGCTAGGCCACTCCAGGACCTTGAGATGCTTCTTACGGAGCCACTCCTTAGTTGCCCTGGCTGTGTGTTATGGGTCGTTGTCATGCTGGAAGACCCAGCCATGACCCATCTTCAATGCTCTTACCGAGGGAAGGAGGATGTTGGCCAAGATCTCGCTCTATTTTTGTCTCATCAGACCCCATGACCTTCTCCCATTCCTCCTCTGGATCATCCAGATAGTCATTGGCAAACTTCAGACGGGCCTGGACATGCGCTGGCTTGAGCAGGGGGACCTTGTGTGTGCTGCAGGATTTTAATCCATGACGGCGTAGTGTGTTACTAATGGTTTTCTTTGAGACTGTGGTCCCAGCTCTCTTCAGGTCATTGACCAGGTTCTGCCGTGTAGTTCTGGGCTGATCCCTCACCTTCCTCATGATCATTGATGCCCCACGAGGTGAGATCTTGCATGGAACCCCAGACCGAGGGTGATTGACCGTCATCTTGAACTTCTTCCATTTTCTAATAATTGCGCCAACAGTTGTTGCCTTCTCACCAAGCTGCTTGCCTATTGTCCTGTAGCCCATCCCAGCCTTGTGCAGGTTTACAATTTTATCCCTGATGTCCTTACTCAGCTCTCTGGTCTTGGCCATTGTGGAGAGGTTGGAGTCTGTTTGATTGAGTGTGTGGACAGGTGTCTTTTATACAGGTAACGAGTTCAAACAGGTGCAGTTAATACAGGTAATGAGTGGAGAACAGGAGGGCTTCTTAAAGAAAAACTAACAGGTCTGTGAGAGCCGGAATTCTTACTGGTTGGTAGGTGATCAAATACGTATGTCATGCAATAAAATACAAATTAATTACTTAAAAATCATACAATGTGATTTTCTGGATTTTTGTTTTAGATTCCGTCTCTCACAGTTGAAGTGCACCTATTATAGAAATTACAGATCTCTACATGCTTTGTAAGTAGGAAAACCTGAAAAATCGGCAGTGTATCAAATACTTGTTCTCCCCACTGTATATGCAAATAGACCATTGCCATATATGGATCTGTGCCATTTACTTTGAACTGGACTGTGTTTACAGCATGAGCGGTCGTGAGTAGATGCGCTTGTTTTGAGATCAAAGCGAGAGCTGCATGTAGCCACGTGTGCACGTTTTGTTCATATCTTTTGCTAGTTAGTGAGTTATTAGCCCAGTTATAGATCATTTGTAGTCAGCAATAGGGGAGTGATTGCTTCCTACAAGAGCACAAAACATCAACATTTCTAGACATCTTTTTAGTCTTAAAGGGGCAGTATTGTATTTAGAGACAGGCTTGAATAAGCTAAGTAGGCAGAGGGTAGCATAATTTGTCTGATTCTCTAATAATGGTGTGGAAATAATAATGCATTTTATTTTGTAAAGTGGTTTCTTGCATCAAACACCACAACATTTTCAGTCACCTCCTTGTCTGAAGGACAAATGGATAAACAGGTTAATGTCTAGCCTTGCATGTTTTTTCCCCCCTCAAAAGTCTAATGGAATGTATACCTACATTGAACACCACACATTGGCTTCTACTGTAGGCTGAATGATAGAACAGCTATTTCTATGTTAAAATGTTATGGGATGCATTTTCTCCATAGTTTTTGATGGTAGGCCTCTGCTAGGCCTACATTATGATCAAATAGCCGCAGTAGCCTGCATGGCCACAGTTAAAACTGTAACTTAAAGCGGGTTCAGCCTCAGTGTTCACAGTAAACGCGCGCTGGAAGTTGCACAGAATTTTAAGTCTTTAGTGATTTGGACACCGAGGAAATTGAAGCTCTCGACCCGCTCCACTGCAGCCCTGTCGATGTGGATGGGGGCGTGGTCACCCCCCCAGTTTCCTGTAGTCCATGATCAGCTCCTTGGTCTTACTGATGTTGAGGTAGAGGTTGTTGTTCCGGAACCACACTGCCAGGTCACTGACCTCCTCCCTGTAGGCTGGACTCATCGTTGCTGGTGATCAGGCCTACCAGCATCGTGTCGTCAGAAACTTGATGATGGTGTTGGAGTCGTGCGTGGCCATGCAGTCGTGTGTGAACAGGGAGTACAGGAGGGGACTAAGCACACAACCCTGTGGGGCCCCAGTGTTGAGGGTCAGTGTGGCGGAGGTGATGTTGCCTACCTTGACCACCAGGGGTCAGCCCGTCAGGAACTTTACCCGGTACCAGGATATTTTAGCAAAAACCTGAATTGCCTCTGCCAGGAGGCTGAAACTTGGCTGCAAGTGGATCTTCCAGCAAGACGATAACCCCAAGCGCACATCAAAGTCCACAAATAAACATTTTGCAATGGCCATCTGTCTCCCATTTGAACCCCATTGAAAACCTTGAATTGAAGAGGGAAGTCCATAAGCACAGACGAAGGGCATAGCTCAGTATTTGTATTATTTATTTTATATTTTATATTATTAATTTATTTTATATATTTTTGCTCATCTTTATTTCTTCAATAATTTTGTAATTGTAACTTTAATTCAGCAGTTTTTTCATGTTTTATATTCATTAATTCTATTGCATCAGATACTACAGTACATAATCCCCTCTAGTGTTGTATTTGAGATAATTTATATATAGCAGACAATTGTAATGATATGGAGTGAATACCATTTTGATTGGTCAAAGCTTTCGCATGAACTAGTCATTATTGTTGTCAAATGCAATCAGCCTCAAGTCCTTCCACTCTGAAAGGGGTCTTGCCCCCCACCTATGGAAAGACGTTTTAACATATGCATAGAATTATTGATATTAATAATTGTATTTTTTATATCAATAATAAAAAAGTATAAAAATAATTCAAAAAGTTTTATATCAAAATTATTTTGTGATATCAAATTTGATTGATATAACAAAATAATTAGATTTGTTTAATATTGATAATTGCATTTTGTATAGAAAAGTATATGTTCATTTTACATTTACATTTTACGTCATTTAGCAGACGCTCTTATCCAGAGCGACTTACAGTTAGTGAGTGCATACATTATTTATTTATTTATTTTTTCATACTAGCCCCCCGTGGGAATCGAACCCACAACCCTGACGTTGCAAACGCCATGCTCTACCAACTGAGCTACATCCCTATGACCTTCATGGAGGCGGGATTATAATTTGCATGCTCCGACATACAGTCGCTAGTGAAAGTCTACACACCCCTTGCACATTCTTCACATTTTGCTGCCTTAAAATGAAATCTAAAAAGGT